GTGGAGCTGGAGCTGTCTCATCTCTTACCCAACGACTGTTGTGAGTTCAAGTCTACTCCAGAAAGAAACACAGGCGCATAGAAAATAGGAGCAGGAGTAGGCCATTCCTCCCTTCAAGCCTGCTCATCCATTCAATATGATCATGCCGGATCATTCAACTCAATACCCTGTTCCTGCTTTCTCCCCATGACCTTTAATCCATTTAGCCCCAAGAATTATATCTAACTTCTTCTTGAAAACATTCAATGTTTTAGCCTCAACTGCTTTCTGTGGCAGAGAATTCCATAGGCTCCCCACTCTCTGGGTGAAGACATTTCTCATCGTTTCAGTCCTAAATGGCCCACCCCCTATCATAGAGTCATACAGTAGGAAGCAGACCCTTCTGTCTAACCAGTCCATGCCAACCATAATCCCAAACTAAACTATCCCACCTGCCTGCGTTTGGTCCCTATCCCTCCAGGCATTTCTTATTCATGTGCTTATCCAAATGTTTTTTAAACATTGTAACTGTACCCATATCCACCACTTCCTCTGGAAATTCATTCCACACGCACAACACTCTGTGAAAACAATTGCCTCTTGTCTTTTTTAAAACTTTCTCCTCTCACCTTAAAAATATGCTCCCTAGTCCCGAAATCCCCCACCCTAGACAAAAGTCATCTGCCATTCACCTTTACTAGATTTCTCATGATTTTATAAACCTCTATAAGGTCACCCCTGATCCTGAGACTGTGACCCTCTGATTCTAGGCTAACACTACCAGTGGCAGTACCGAGGGAGCTCCACACTGAGGGTGGATTTGTAAGATCCTGTCCAGTGGAGGGTTTTTCCCAGGGTTCCTAGGCCATCATTTGCCCCCTTAAACACGATGTCTGCCCCTCCCCCTCCCACCCAACCAAGAGAACCCTCTTTGAGCTGCATGTGGATTACCAGCGTGCTTCAGCAACACGTTGCTTGGTCATGTGGTACCTTGGACGTCCTGCAGAAGCAGAATGCAGGCTGGGGAAGGTGGAGGTGATGTTGTGAGTGTTACATTATTATAAACTCCTTGATTCCAGACAGAGGAGGTGGAGTGGGTGAGGCGATGGCGACAGGCTTAGGAGAAGAAAAAAGTGGAGCCTGCGCTGTGTCACTGGGCACCATGGGGGGGTTTGTGGGGGAGCGTTAGGGGCAACGGTTACCACGTTACCAGCTCTGGGGAGGATCAACTCCTTCTCGTAATGCCAGCTGCTGCTTGCGCAGGATTATCACGGTGGAGGGCCCTTTATACGCCAAGGCAAAATTAATCAGAAGAGCTCAGGCATGTAGTTAGTGTTCACCAGTGACTCCTGACTTGTTCTAACTTCTGCGCTGAAGCACTTTGTAATCGGACTAACTCTTGTGATAAAAACACACACACAGTCCTTGCAGCAACTGTTTAAAACAAAAACTAACCAATCAAGTGAGGCCAGGAGGTCAGAACGGGCTGGTTTGATCTAGACTTTGATTACCGAGGCCAGGTTATATAAAAGAAGGATCAACCATTACACCCTTCTGCTGCAAAGACACCGAGAGGATTTCAGGCCCCAGGCCAATCACAGTCAGGAGTGTACTCCAAGGCCGGAGTTCCAGTCTGGAGATGCCTCCTTATTCGGAGAAGAATGACCTGGACAAGGATGAGACGCAGGATGAGGTGGGGGAGCTCAGTAGCCCGTCCCAGGCCGGTGGGACAGAGAGGGAGGGTGAAAAGTTGGAGCAGGAGGGTGCTGAGGAGGGCCACGACTCGTACAAACGCTACTTTACGGCCGATGAGAGGCACAGCGGGGCCAGGAAGGCGGTGCAGAGAATGCTCAAGATCTTGAAACGTAAGTTGGAAGGCTCCAGGAGGCATCAGTTAGACGAATGGTGTCAGGCTCCATAGCACAGAGAGTGGCCATTCAGCCTGCCTTCTCTTTGTCAGCACTTGCAAAGTCCAGAATGAAGCGCACTGCCCCACTCTCTCCCCGTAGCCCTATATCAATTCCGAATCTAACCCCATTGCCTCATTCTCTTCCCATAGCCTTATATCAATTCCGAATCTAACCCCATTGCCTCATTCTCTTCCCATAGCCTTATATCAATTCCGAATCTAACCCCATTGCCTCATTCTCTTCCCGTAGCCCTATATCAATTCCGAATCTAACTCCATTGCCTCATTCTCTCCCCATAGCCCTATATCAATTCCGAATCTAACCCCATTGCCCCACTCTCTCCCCTTAGCCCTATATCAATTCTGAATCTAACCCCATTGCCTCATTCTCTCCCTGTAGCCCTATATCAATCCCCAAACAAACCCCAGTCTCTGCCCATAGCTGTGTATCAATCCGCAAACCATTCCCACTTGCCCCACTATCTCCCCATAACCCTGTATCAATCCCCAATCCAATCTCACTGCCCCACTCTCTCTATAACCCTGTATCAATCCAAAACTAATCCCACTGCCCCACTCTCTCTGTAACCCTGTATCAATCCAAAACTAATCCCACTGACCCACTCTCTTCCCATAGCCCCGTATGAAACCCAAACTAATCTCACTCCCCCACGCTCTCCTCCATAGCACTGTGTCACTCCCAATCCAATCCCACTGCCCCACTCTCTCCCTATAGCCCTGTATCAAACCCAAACTAACCCCACTGTCCCTTCTCACTCCCCATAGCCCTGTATCAATCTCAAACTAATCCCACTGTCCCTTCTCACTCCCCATAGCCCTGTATCAATCTCAACCTAATCCCACTTTCCTACTTTGTCCCTGTAGCTGAGTTTCAATCCCAAAGCAATCCCACTTCCCCACTCTCGCCCATAGCCTTGTATCCCACTCTGTTGACAGTCCCTGCATATTCCTGCACTAGTGGAGGAGGTTGGTAAACTGATAGTTCCAAAGTTCTTTGAACCTGATCTGAGTCAGGGACTTGAAGTGATGTAAAGTATTGCGAACTGTTATGCAATTAGACTATAGTCTGATTCCTTGTCACCAGTCTAAAGATGTATAACATGGCTTGAATCAATGAGTGATCCAAACGTTGCTCAATGCATTAATTTGAATTGACAAGAGCCCAAAGTTTGATAATGGTCTGAGAGCTGATCCTGGCTCTGATATGTCCTGTTTACTTACAGCATTCATACTGTCTGTACGGAAGCAGATCCTGAAATTCGGAGAGGATTGGATCTTTCTTTTCCTGCTGGGCATGTTCATGGCCACTATTAGCTTCAGTCTGGATGTGATCACTTCAAAGTTTCAGAGAGGTAATTGAGGACTTTCTTCTGGATGAGAAATGCCTCGAAGTCTTTACTTCCTGTCATATAACAACAGCTTGGAAATGCTACCCTGAATGTTCATGTCCAGGATAAGTTAATTTAATTCTACCATCGAATCACACAGCACAGACAGAGACCATTCAGCCAAGTCTTCTTGTGGCGGCTCTGACCGGTCCCAGCTCTGACAGATCTCACCAATCTGTCCCACTCACGTTGTGATATCCCCGGACCCTGTAATATTTTCCTTTTTTCTAAATTATTTCTCTAAATCCTCTTCAGAAAGTTCTGCTTCCATTGTCCTTTCAGGCAGTGCATTCCAGATTACAACAACTCACTACTTTAAGAAAGAGAAATTGGCCTTACCTCAAATCCGGATTATTTGCCACTAATTGGAAACTGCGTCCCCGTGGCTACCAATCTCCTTGCAAGTGGAAGCAATTTCTCCTTGGTTGTTCTATCAAAAGCCCTCACAATTTTAACACCTCTATTAAATCGCCTGTTAGCCTCCTGTGCTCCAAGAACATAGAACAGTACAGCACAGGAAGGGGCCCTTTGGCCGATGATATTGTACTAAGCATGAAGCCAAATTAAACTAATCCCTTCTGCCTACCGTTGGTCCATATCCCTCCATTCCTTGTATATTCATGTGCTAATCTAAAATTCACTTAAACACTCCGATTGTATCTGCCTCCACCACCATTCCTGGCAGTGCATTCCAGATTCCTACCACTAAAAAACTTGCCCCTCACATCTCCCTTGAACTTACCCCCACTCACCTTAAATGCATGTCCCTTAGTATTAGACATTTCAACTCTGGGAAAAATATTCTGACTGTCAACCCTATCTATGTATCTCATAATTTTATAGACTTCTATCAATTCTCCCCTCAGCCTCTGCTGCTCCATAGGAAATAACCTGAGTTTTTCTAGCCCCTCCGTATAGTTTCTACCCTCAAATCCAGGCAGCATCCTGGTAAACCTCTTCTGCACCCTGTCCAAAGCCTCTATATCCTTCCTGTAATGTGGCAACTAGAATTGAATGCAATACTCTAAGTGTGGCCTAACCAAAGTCTTATAAAGCTGCAACATGACATCCTGACTCTTGTACTCAGTTTCCTGATCAATAAAGGCAAGCATGCCATAAGCCTTCTTTACCACCCTATCTACTTGTTGTGGCCACTTTAAGGGAGCTCTAGACTTGAACCCCAAGATCCCTCTGTAAATCAATGCTGTTGTTCAGGGTCCTGTCCAAACCCAACTTTTGCAATTTCTCCACATAGCCAAAGACCCTCATTAATGGTATCTCTACCTCTAAAGGATTGGCATCCTTCCGAATGTATGGTGCTCAGATATGACCACAAAACTCTAGCTGCTTAGAGGTAGTAACAGTTAGTCCTCTATAATCACGCATTTTAATTTGGGGGAGACAGTGGCATAGTGGGAATGTCACCGGTTTAATAATCCACAGATCTAGACTAATACTGCGGAGATGTGAGTTCATAATCCCACCACAGCAGATGGTGAAATTTAAATGCATTTCATAAAATCTAGCATGATGAGCCATGACAACTGTCATTAAAATATTCTAAAGTTCACTAACGTCCTTTAGGGACAGAAATCTGTTGTTTGGGTCTCCTTTTCTGAGGAAGGATGCTCTTGCTCTTGAGAGAGTGCTGATTCCGGGGATGGCGGGTCTGACGTATGAGGAGAGATTGACTAGGTTAGGATTGTTTTTGCTGGAGTTCAGACAAATGAGTGGGGATCTCATAGAGACTTATAAAATTCTAACAAGACTGGACGGGGTAGATGAGGGGGGATGTTCCCAATGATGGGTGTGTCCAGAACCAGGGGTCACAGTACGAAGATTCGGGGTAGACCATTTAGGACAGAGATGAGGAGACATTTCTTCACCCAAAGATTGCTGAGCCTGTGGAATTCAATACCACAGGAAGTAGTTGATGCCAAAACATTGAATGTATTCAAGAGGTGGCTAGATATAGCACCTGGTGTGAATGAGATCAAAGGTTATGGGTAGAAAGCAGGATTAGGCTATTGAGTTGGACAATCAGCCATGATTGTGATGAATAACAGAGCAGGTTCGAAGGGCCGAATGGCATCTTCCTGCTCCTATCTTCTATGTTTCTATGACCTTACCTGGTCTGGCCAACACGTGACTTCAGACCCACAGCGATGTGGTAGTTAATGTTTGTCAGGTTCGAATGGCAGCTGGTGAAACTAAATTTCAATTAAGGCATCTGGGAATTGCATGTAGCTAGTCTCGGTAATGGTGAACATGACAACCATCATGCCAAACACCACACAGAGGGTGGTGAGTGTCTGGAATGGGTTGCCAGAGGTAGTGGTGGATGCGAGTACAATTTTGTCACATAAGAAACATTTGGACAGGTACATGGATGGAATGGGTATGGAGGGATATGGACCAAACGCAGGCAAATGGGACTAGTTTGATTGTGAAAACTGAGCAGATTGGCAAGTTAGGTCAAAGGGTCTGTTTCCATGCTGGAGACATCTATGACCCTCAATCATCAACTGTTGTTTAAAACCCATCTGTTTCACTAATGCCCTTTAGGGAAGGAAATCTGCTACCTGGCCTACCTGCTCTGGCCTACGTGTTTCTCCAGGCCCACAGCAAATTTGGTAGACTGTTAAATGGCAGTAAGCCACTCTGTGATTTGGGAGGGCAACAAATATTGGCCTTGCCAGAGATGCCCAAATCTTGTGAAAGGACTTAAAAGAAAACTTTGGTCAAATCAACCTTGGTGGATCTCTAAAGGGTCATCTGAAGGGCAGATCACACCAGTAAGATGACCTTGCAATGTGGGTCATACTGGTTCTGCTGGATTTGAGTACTGGCAGTCGTCCTGAAAGCTTTATGCCAGGGCTTCCACTTTTCTCCTCTATTCTTCATGTGATATGGGCATGGACCAGCCTTTGTTGCCCATCCTTAACTGCCCCTTGAACTGAGGAGCAAACCAGGTCCACTTCAGAGAGCAGTTGATAGTCAACCTCATCACTATGGGTCTGGAGTCACACGTAAGCCAGACCAGGTAAGGTTGAGAGATTTACATCCCTAATATTCTTCAGCGTAATAACCTGGGCCTCAGGATTACTAACATCACCACAATGCCAATACTGCCACTTTCCCCTTTCATGGTCAAGATATTAAGGGGAATAGATAGGGTAGAACAGGAATTAGGTTTTATTGTCACGTGTACTCAAGCACAGGAATGCAGGAGTACAGTGAAAAGTTTACAAAGTTGCCATTCCCAGTGCCATCTTAAGTACAAAGGTACCTAGGTACAAAGTAGAAAAAAGTTCAACAAGTAGTTAAAAGTTCAACATTACAGTCCTTCTTTAACCATGGTCCCATAGTCACGCAATGCTGGCTTTCCCCATAAGATCTCACTCTCCCCACAACAGCTCAATCTCTCCCCCATGCTGTGCCTGAAGACATGGTTTTGGCTGTTTGGGGTGAGCAAGACTAGGGAAATGTAGCCTAAAACTTAGGATCAGACCCTTGAGATGTGAAGTTGGAAACACCTCTGCTCACAATGGATGGTAGAAGTTTGCAACTCTCACCTGCAAATGGCAATTAATTGAAGATCAATTTTAAATTTTAAATTTTAAATTTTTTTCGCTAAGTGTATTAAGGGATATGAAGCTCAAAATGCAGTGACCATCTGGCCATGATCTGATTGAATGTGGTATAGATTCGAGGAGCTGAATGACCTTCTCCTGTCTTTATATTCCCGGCTTACAGCAATGAAGAACACCACACTTTTGGCTTTAGCTGTCAGGACTGGCAAATATTGGCCAGGAGCTGAGGATGAGGATTATAATGAGGGGAGTGTTGCTGGAAATAGTGCTGGGAACTCAACTATTTACAATCTATTCCAATCATTTGGATGAAGGGACCAAATGGTCGTTCAATTTGTGGTTGGCACAAACTGGGCAGCACCATACACAGTGTTGACGACAGCATAAAATTCCAACAGGATATTGGTGGATTAGGTGACTGGGCATAACTATGGCAGATGGATTTTAATGTAAACTAGTCCATTTCAGACTGAGAAAGGACAGATCAGGGTATTTTTTTAGAAGCTACGGAGTTAAATACAGTGGATGTCCAATGAGATTTGCAGATTTAGGTGAATAACTCTTTAAAATGCCATGAACAGGTGCAGAAAATAGAGAAGGAGGCTAACAGAATGCTGGCCTTCATATCTAAAGGGCTGGGGTGTAGGGATGCAGTCATTATGCTGCAGGTATGCAAAAGTTGGTTGTGGGAGGGGGGATGTTGGCTGTAGGAGTGAATTACGGTATGGTGTTTGTAATATCGGAAAGTGATATGTTAAGGGTGCTGCTTATAATGAAGCTTGTTAAGTTATAAACCTAGAACGTAGAAGCAGGGGTAGAGCGTTTGGTGCTGGGAGCCTGCTCCGCCATTCAAAATGATCATGGCTGATTGTCCAACTGAGCACCATCTGTAAAGACCAAACCCCCACAGTTTGATTTCCAATTAAATTCCTAACTTCTGTTAGGGCCTGACGACCTGGAAAGGGTTGGTTTGCATGCTGCTGACCTGATAGGAGAAGCAGCTTGAGGCACGCAAGAATTAATACGATCTTGTGTCCAAAAGGTTGCTGGTGCCCTGTAATTGGGACTGCTGAAAGCTTCAGGTGCTCCGAGATTGCATCTGCTCAGCGGTCAGGCGATTTGATGTTTTGTAAACTTTCTCAAAGCAGCTACATCTTGCCAAAAATGTTGTGACAGCAACAAAGGAACAGTAACAAGCTGCACAGGATAGCTTCACAAAATGTCTTTAGCGAGCTGTAGTCGAAACAATCATAGAATCCCTAAAGTGTGGAAGCAGGCCATTTGGCCCATTGAGTCCACACCAACCCTCCCATCCAGACCCATCCCAGTACCTGTGGATGTTGGATAAAGGGGTGCCGATCCCTGGAACGT